GGGAACACCTAATATAGTTTGAAACTTTTTGGTCGCCGATTTGGATGCCAAATATCCAAGACTCGTTTTCTATATTAATAGGAGATAGGTAGAAAAATTGTTTGCTCCTACCTTGGATAAATTATGTCCAGAAGTCCTTTTAGTTGGAGAGGGTGCCACGGCATTGCGTTGACAACAGGCTATGCCTTTCTCAGACAAACACAAAGCTTCGGCTTCGGCCTCAATAAGTTCCCATAAGACGCTTTCATTGTCTCGCTCCTCCTTGTTTTGAGGTGATAAATTTTTGTTCTTCAAAGGCACAAACCCAAAGACAATTTCATCCTCATCGTTTAATATCGGATTGTCTTCGTGGCTGGATACTTGCAATGGTTGTAGATAGGCTTGAAACTCTGGACATTCCGAAAGGAGAATAGGGGAAGATCCATTTATCACATTTTCGTCGTCATCATCGTAATCATCGCAATCGTTCACATTACCATCTCCTTCTAGCACCTCATCCTCATCCTCTAGTTTATGGGAATGAGAGTAGCCTCTAATCAATGCTTCTACATCCTCCAGTTGTGGTGAAGCATCATCCACCTCATCTTCTTTATTGTGATCCATTTTATATCCCCTATTCGCGATCGCCATTTGACCATCCTCTGTTGAGAAGGAATGAGTTAAAGTGCCATTAGTCTTAATGCACTGGTAGCCTCCACAATAACGGCTGTGATGATTTTGACCTTGAGGCACAGTGTCGGAGAGGTCTGATTCCAGGCGAGGCTTAAATGTCGCTGCCATTGTCCTCCGTGATAGACTCATATATACACAAACACACAAAGAGAGACAAATATTCCTACGGCATTTTGCTTCGCTGACTAAGAGTGATGTAGATATGCGCAGACACTCGCCAATGTCGTTATGGCCAATCAGGCTCGAGAATGAAGCAAGTAGCCAATCAGAATAGTGAAGTAGTGGGCCACTTGCTGGCACGCACGTGCGCTAGTTGCAGAAGCAGCGGACGTGGTCTAATGCGTTGCAGTAGTCGATTTTCCGTGTTGGAGGGAGGTGACTAATCTTGGCATTTTCTATTGTCGATAAGTATTTTCTCTAGCCATTATGCAAATCGGTATTTATTCGGAATACTAAAAATAGAAAATTGATCTCTTGTACAGAGACTTACCCAAAGAGGGATAAATCGCATTCCACATCTTTGGAAGTTGCACGTCAGACTCGTCTTTAGTCACAAATGTTTGGATTTATGTGTTAGTGCCTTGAAAAGGTCATTTCGTTCAAGGACATACACAATACGACCCTGAGAGCTATACAAGCCATTAATCGTAATTACACGTGTAGAAAATATTTGTGTATCAAGTAACTGCGCAGATCAGCGAATAGTCTTAAGCATTTTTGAAGAAAGGTGGCTGGTTCTGGCAACAGAACGGATCTTGTATCCTCAACTCCAGTTCTACAAAACGATCACAAAGTAGTAAACCATGACTGCACCTGAACCCTCTCGACAGGTGAATGGCGCCAAGTTAGAGGATTGAGAGGGAAAAACACGACTAATAGATAAACAGATGTTGACAATTTCCTTTAACCTTTGAATGAGTGGACGCGTAATAGGTGTTGATCGACCTGAACACGTCAGAGTTCGTACATTTTTATAACGAAGGCAAATACGTGGGCCATTTTTGGCAGCATAAACTGTTACTCCACTCGCTTATTATAGCTTTGGTGGTACTCATTCCCGGATTTTGCCTTTTTTAATGGATGTAGATAAAGGGGAATGCTAGAATTCCATCCTCATCCCTTCTCTTAGAGATAATAAGGTGGTTGGAGGGATGAAAGAAGACTTCACACACCAAGAGACCAATTAAATTAACCTACCTTCGCATTCGTTTTCTCATTGTGACGCATAGCGAAGGCACAGTAGCCTCTTGGAGGTGTCACAAAGCTGCCAGATTGTCAGTCAAGAGGAGTAGCCGGGCAAGTAGTAGCATTTAGTAGGAGCTAGAGCAGATTGGGTGAGTAGAAAACCTATTATAATGTGAAAAAAAATTCACAATAAACACTTCCTTCGCACGTAATTTAATGGCTGAGAATAGCATCAATACACTTTTGGCATTGTCATTTGATTGACAGCTAAACCAGCTGTGGAGAAGTTCGCCAAGTCTATGCCTACTTTGCAGTGCTTCACCAACCCAATTTTTGTTCAGGTTGTATTGGATACTAATCTCCCTTCTACAGTTGATTATCCCTAAATGGTGGATAGAAAAAGCCCTTCCTCCTACCCTTTTTCCCTTCTTCTTACAAAACAGCCACAATAAGAGAATCAGTAGACGGTATTTCCCATCCCTTGCAAAAATGAACAAGACCTCATTAGTCGCATGTCGTATGAATAGTTGAGGCAAGGAGACGCTTCTTCACGTCTACCGGTTAACCTGAAAGTGCGAGAATCCTCGTTTCCCAGAAGCCTCCCACATGTTTACTTTTGGGGAGGAGATGCTAAGCGAGTGTTGTACAGGCCTGGACTATAGATGAAGGCAGACAGGTTTTAGGCTTCATTGCTCTTAAGAGTAAAAAAACTTCAAAAATAATCAATTTTTCGTTATAAAAGAGGCTAAAAGACTACAATTGTGTGCAATCAAAAGTCCACTTTTGGAGCGTTTATCTTCAATATCTATTTAAAGGTTTCAGATAATGCCGACTGGACAATTTATCACTTCATGGAGACTCCATACGCCGGACGATGGCATACACGGATCAAAAATTAGCAGTTATAGCGGTGTTCACCACTGCCAATCCTTCATAATGGTGACATGAAGTACCTCCTTCGAAATCTCAAGTACACAGTTCCTACGGGAGACAAGCTGTGCCAGGGTAGAGGACTGCAAAGGGTGGACTAACGACTGTTCCCTACCTATAGGCCAAATGATTTGCTTTACTGAGTATCCGTGACAAAATAAGCATTGCGATAAAATAGAATTCTTTAATTTTATTCACGATAGAGAAAGTCGCTGCGTTTACTTAAAGGTCATAATCGGCTAGACGACCTCTACTTTTTCTCGACTGGTGTTTTTTTTGCGGACCTCGAGGTTGGGAATGTGGTACACGCGTATGCCGCTTTAGGCCCCCATAAACTAGGCCCTTCTAGATTCAACTGTCTAGTACAGCTGATTTACTTTGGTACTGGTTCAACTATGTAAATGACTTATGTTTACCCACAGCTGCCACATTCATTCCTTTTCTCGAGGTGGACTGTCCTTTACTTGAAGGAGTACAAAACAACCGCGGTGATCTTAAATATAGCATATAAGTATCAGGAAGCAAAGTTTGGTTTGTAGGTATTGAAAGGCTCTGAACCATTACTTTGGAAAATGGCAGTCCTAAGCAAGCAAACACAAGGGGAAGTGGATGCTTACATTTTGATTTTGCCCGTTAACAGAATCATTAATGTGTGTGTAAAAATCTATGACACCTTGAATTTTATCTAGGCCTCTGGCAGACTGATGTGATGGCCATGCACATAATGCTGCACGAGGCTCTGATTTTAATTTTTGTCAGAGCTAAAGTACATACTAAATACCTGTTACTAGCAAATTGTCAGTAGTACAGTTAATTTGTTGTTATTGTACGAAAGAATCGCTCACTTTGGATGTTTGAAGCGGGGTTAACGAAATTGAGCGCATTTTAATGCTCATTCCTTACACATCAGACATAATAGAAAACGCCGAAGTAGATATTTTTATGAAACATTAAAAGCTATGCTTAGTAACCTTCTTTTCATGCATAACTTAGTTATTGCCAAATTGTCACGATTAGCTTTTAACAGACGTACCAAATTAAAGGAATGTGTGCATATTGCCAACTGTAAACTTCAAAATTGGCGCATATGTTCGTCCTTAAAATAATCTGTTACCCATTTGAAAATGCGAATATTGCGCTCCAAATACATCGATGCCAAATTGCTCCATAACCTAGTAAACACGGCTTCTGAGATGGGGTGTATGAGCTGCTCAGTTTCACTTCACCTCGTAAAAACTCTTCTCTCCACTCTAATTTGGTAGTCTCGACAGTCATACAAGAAGGAGAAGGAGAAAAAGAATGGAAGTATGAGGAGGAGCAAGAGGAGGAAGCACAAAAACAGCTTTTCTGGTACACTCTAAAGAGGTGGGTAGTTGTGTTGTGGTAACTTAATTCAATCGTAATTATACAATTTTCAGGAAGCAGAAATCCTTTCCGAACAATTTTGTATCAATTAAACCATATAATCCCGGTACCATGGGGAGAGAGAGAGAGAGGTCCGTAGTAAAAAGAGGTACAACGCAAAAATACCAACCGGTCTCACGAGTCTGTTAGGTAGGCAAATACTCAGTCAGTTAATCATTTGATCAGTAGCCAATCCCAAGTAGTGCTTCATATTGCCTGAGAAACTGAGGAACAAATTGGGTTCACCGGGATCTCTTAATGGCTGACATATGGTTAATTTACCCTTATTCTCACAGCCACTGAAGGAAATATAAGCGTTTGCAAAGATAGACAGTCTTTATTCAACCTTTTGGAATTTGAAAAGCCTTTATTCAACACACTGTGTCAATTTTTGCATGATTCACCAGTTAAATTTTTTTTACCGCAACACAGTCAAGTACTGCGTAGCATGAGAAGAGCTTACAAGCTCAAACTGGAGCTACCCGCATTGAGGGTTGGAAAATAGGGTGTGGGTAGAGAGATGGTCTGTCCGTCAATTTGTGTATTAAAAATGCGTTCTTCCACGTCTCAACATGTCGTAAGAATGGACCTCCATGGGACCCCTTTAAGTGAAGTGAGCATCTGACTTACTGAAAAAAAAACACTAAATATCTGCTACTCGGAAGGGTCTTAACCTTAGCGATGTCTAAATACTACTAACACCAAATTAAGTAGATACTGCACTTGTACCACCTGTTTTACTTAAAATAGAACCGAGAATACGATGCTAAAAGTTGAACAAATCCTGTTTTTAGGACCTGTG